CTAATGTTCTCCTCACTCACATGAGCACCAATTTTCCTAATGTCAATTATGGCCATGTATTGCCTCACCAAGGGCAGCATTTGGTCCACAAATTGTTGGCAAGTCCTATAATTTATGCATTTTGCATTGTGTAAAAAACCCCAGTCTATCAGCTGTGGTGTTGGTTGCAAAAGATCTGCTCCTGTAATTACCCTGGTTGTTTATGTCATGGTAATGTGTCCTTAGACGTTGAGCCATGTAAAAAGATTCATACACCAAAAGTGTAAATGGCAATTAGGGAATTTCATCAGGTGCTGAGTAAGATACAATGCTTGTGACAGTTTAATTCCAGCCTTTGCTCTGCTTCCCTTGGTGTGTTCTTGAAACACTCAGATCTTAGCTGTTAGGGGAGACCTGCTTAAGGACAACTCCATTGAATCAGTGTGGTTACTATCCCATATGCAAAGTGAACACTCAATTCTCTCATATGGCTCTTTGTGGTAGAATTGTCATAAAGGGAGTAAGATCCAAAAAATATTCTGTAAAAAGATCATGAGTGGGTTTATACTGTCAGTGTCATGCCTCTGGCATGTGGCAACACCAGGAGTGGCCATTAGATAGTGAAAACCTTCTGAATGCAGAGTCAGAGTGCCTGCATGGAAGCACAGCCCTCTGAGTGACACAACAGGAACTGGCATGGCATTCCCTGGTACTTGTGTGGTATCCTTGCTAATGCAGTTCTTGAAACAGTGGATTTGTGCTTCACAGGCTCACTCTTTATTCTGAAAAGACCTGATGGGATCCTGTGCTACTGATTGCGTGTGGGCTCAGCTGCTGCCAGTGGCACCACACCAGCTGCACCTCCAAATAATTTACTGTAAATCAGGGAACAGCCTTTCCCAATGGCACAGTGAGGGCTGTCCAAAGGGCCTGGCAGAGGTGAAGGTAGAGATGATGGAGCATTCAGGCAGCATTTCAGGCTGACCAGAACGCTGCACAGCAGAACAGTTCATCTGGTGCAGTTCAGTGCAGTGTTATAAAGAGTTTGAAACTGGGGGAAGTGAATGTGACACTTCAGCAGAGACTAAAAAAGCACAGGAGCACCAAAAGGAGCTGTGGAGAGCATGGTGAAGTTGCAAGCAGAGGGGAAGAGGACAGAGAACAGGCAATGAGCTGAAGCATTGTTTGCACATTTTGAAAGCTTCTGATGAGTGCAGAGCTCCATGACTTAACTGGTATTGGTTAAGTAGTGATAGACATTGCTGAACTTTGTCCCAGGCAGTTTGGAAACAGAGGGGTGGGTGGCACAACGTGTGCCTGAGTCCTGGGTGTGCTTTGATTCCCCACAGACAGAGAGTCATGGAAGGTGGTAAATTACAGTATTTATGCATGAGTGTAAGAAGCTCTAAGTTTTAAATTATGGGCCTAGGGTGATTACTGCACTTTCAGAAGAAGCCCGTTTATACTTTAGTGTATAAATATTGGTGTTATAAGAAATACTTCTGCTATCTTCCTTTCAATAGAGCATGGTGTAATTGGCAATGAGAAGTGCTTTTTGGGGCTGGTTCCTCAGCTACTATTGAGCTCATAATTAGGAAGCCTAATAACATTTTCAGTACTCTTTAACACATTTAAAGAGCACTTTTTATTTCTCTCTGTCTGGCTAACTTTAGGCTCCATAGGTCATGTGTGATTAAAAAAACAAAGAGTAAGATGGATATTTTTGCCAGTAATAAGGCAGACATCACTCAGGCCACAGGGTATAAGGAGCATTGCAGAGACACTCTGTTTGCTGGAGAATACAGGAAGAATCTGAGCCTGGTACAGTGACACAGATAATTTGTGGTGACTTGTCATGCATCCTGTTGCCACAATAGCATTGTCTTTGCTCTTGCATGCTTGCCTTCACTAAGGACAGTCTGAAGCACTCTGCCAGAAAATACCTCGACCCATACAGTTGCACCGAGCAATTATTTTTTATTTTTCTCCATATTAAAATCTCTCATTCATATGAAAATGAATGAGAGAAAAAAGCACACATAGGTGCTTTTCTTTAGTTCTCAGTGCTAAAAAACCTTCTCATTTCTTGCACATTGCGTCAGCTCAGGCTAGAGTTTGTCTGAATGCTTATTTTTCTGCACCTCTATAAATAGATGTTGCGAAAATAATTCTTTTAAACTTCTCTTTATTTTTACATTCAATGCATGAGGACAGACAAGATGAACATTCATGACAAAATATAAAGACATATACTGTCCTTGAAATAGGTAAAAGATAAAGTGTTTAAGAGTTTAAAAAAGTATTTTAGAAACATTGTATCTCCAAAATTTCTCATTACAGAAAATTCAAATCTGTTAGAAACATATTGTTCAATATCCTTGTGCATTAAGCCATATTATCAAAGTCTATAGTTGTTTTTCGTCTTTAGGAAATCTGTCTCTGCATTACTAACAATCTTTAAGTAACCTATTGATGGAGCCAACAGTCTCCATAATACACAGTATACACAGTTACAAACAATTGAAAAGTTATATTACAAAATATACAGTAGTGCCTTTTTACATTTTTATAGATAAACATTGCATAGTTTTCAAATATGTAATATATAACACAATCACGAGCCTTTTTCTCTATAAGTTATGAAAAATTCTGTACACTCAAACAATTATAAATAAAGAGTAAATATCTTTTAGTAAGAGTGTGGGGGTGAGTGTACCAGGACATACCGTGCTGTATTAAACAGAAATACTCCTTGGAATCTGCTTAACACTATGGCATGGTATGACCTGGAGCAAGGAGAGGAGACGTTACAGAGAGAAACCATAAAGTACTGATATGCCTGACAATTATTACCCTGACTTGTTTGCAAGAATTGCTTTCCCACAGTTATTATCACTGCTCTTGAAGGCTTCACTTCAAGAGGCAAAATAAGGTGCATGTTGTTCAAGAAATGAGTAAAAGTAGACTAAAATGTTTCCTCTTTCGATGGGTGGTCAATGGAAACGTAAGATAACTTGAAAACAATTCTGGATATTTTTCTCATATTTTCCCAGAGAAACAGGGCAGGGGAAATGCACATTGGGGTTTAAAGAAACAGATTCAAAAAGTATCCAGAATTGTGAGAATAAAATGAAGAAAAATTACTGAAAATATAAAAATTCCACTTTAAAAATGAGATGCTGATAAAATTGTTTCAACAATATGAAGCATAAGGAAAATAAAAAGAACATTCGACATAATTCTGCTGTTTGGTACGACACTCCAAAAGAGCAGAACTATACCAAAACTAGATGGTTTTGGAATTTCTCTGATTCTAAGCATTTTGTCACTGGCTCACAATTACAGAAAGTTAGAATCTCAGTTTGAATGCAATTTGCAAACTCATAGTTTGCCAGTTTTACTGTTAGCTTAAAAAAGTAAATGAAAACAATTTTCACTTCTAAAATGTATGTATTTAATTGATTGCTGAATTTAACCTGCTGAATTCCAAGCTCTGCAAAAAACAACTATTCAGAAGTAATCGTGTTCTAGCAGCACTGAGTAGCTTTGTTGCACTAAGGGTCTTCTCAGCATTTTCATTACACATTTAATTTAAAATTCAGCCACTTAAATGGGCTTTAAATGACACTTGGTTTACACTCAGCCATCTAATTTTTTTTGAACATTAGTGATTGGACTTCAGATATTGTCCCATACTCAGTAATGTCTAAGCTGTTGAAAACCAGCAGAAGTACTGAGTGCATCTTTGAAATGTTCATCTTCTGACTCTGAAATTATGCCTTCTGTCAGCCCGTGATTCAGAGCAGTCTCACAAGCATTTACTAAAGTATCACTAAGGTAAAATTTGAGCACAAGCAGCTCCCTATCAAGTATTGCACTACCCATGGATTTGCTAGGCATTGTAGTGACTACACTCCTTATAGATTTTATTTGGGATTTGGATTGCTACATACAATTGCCAGTAAAATTCACATTATCTCCAAGTAGGGTGGTTCAGAGCACAAAGGGGTGGTGGAAGCCCCTTTCTCTCCAGTAAACGTTGCCAGATGCCCTGTGCTAGCCACAATCTGCTCTGCAGGCTCCCTCTGTTGTAGCACTAAAGCCAATCTCCGCTGCTACCCTGAAAACTCCTTTTGTGGCTCAGGCAAATGGAGCCACAGCTGCACACAGATCCCCGGGCACCAGCCTGGGCTGGCACAGCCCTGTCCTCTCCTGCGTGTCCTCCTTCCTGCACCAGCCCATAGCTGTGGCATTACATGGTGAGCAGGGCCTTCTAGAGAGAGGAATGGCCACACAATCACATCCTCAGTCAGCCAAGACCTTTGGTAGCTACCCAATGTCTCCACACAGAGTTGTTAGCATTCAGCAGGCAGAGGGAGCAGCAATTGCCTTTGTGGTCTTTAGCCTGAGATAGCAAAAGGTTGTAGCTCCTGTCCCCACTGTTAGAGGAGACAGAGAGGGCTCCAGTGGGCTTAGGTACACTCTTATGCCAGAGTAGGACTCCAAGAGCTTCTGAAGGATGTCCCAGCATTTCATTTTCCTTCACATATATAGAATAAATTTTGTCTGTTCTAGGATTATAGGAAAGCTACTGTTTTCCATTTTTGACCACTGCAGACAGGTCAACAAAAACATTGGGATTCCCCCTTTCATTTTCTTCCCTTTTCTTCCCCTTCCCCCCCGCTTTTTTTTCTTTTAAATTTCAAGGACTTCTTAGGTATTATGAAGTAATTTCTGCTGAGTCAGTAGGTCAGAAAGGCTGTTCTACAAGTGCATTATTTATTGGGTTTTTTAAGTTTTAATTGATTGCCACTTCTTTCATCCCTCTCTTCATGGGACTACATCAGGATTTCTTTTGTTTGCTACCGATAACATTGGAGGAAGGTACCACATAGAAGATCCTCCGTGAGCAAATCTGTCATTAGCTTTGGAACTGAGCAGAGATATTTTAGGGACTCTGTCAAGCTTGTTTTCACACCCTTCCTTGATGAGTGATGTATCACTGGCTTCAGAAACCTAACAAAATATTCACTCTGTCCTCAGTGCAAGGTCCAAGGTGGTTTTGATGAGCCTGGCTGTCCTGTGCTGTATCTCTGCTAATATGCATGGATCCAATACTATAATGCTGTGTTGTTTGTGCCTGTTTTGTCAACACAGGCTACTGCTGGTGCCCTTCTTCCACCTCTTTCATCATCAGCCATTGCCATGGTGTTTTCATAAACTTCCATAGTTTTTAGCTGGTTGTCTTTGGCACCCTCCTGTTCAGCATTGACTTTGCAACACTTGCAGAAGCCACAGCAGTGTTTCCCACAAAAAGCAAGGGAAGCCATAAGCATATTGTCCCAGGGCTCTAGGGAGTGCATCCACACAGGTAGGAAATCCCAGTTTTGGAGCTTCTCAGGCAGTGAATGTGGTTTCCTTTTCTGCATAACATTAATTATAACCACAGCAATAAAAAGAAGAAACAGGGGAAGGCAAACACCCAAAAGGACTCCCCAGCCTGCCAGTGACAGAGCAAATACAAACAAAGGCAACAAAAAGAAACAGAGGAGAAGATAAAATATAGCAAACCATCTGTACTGGGCAGTTATATTTCCCAAGGTCTTGCTCATGCGGATTGGCAGGCGGGTATAAGGTATCGGATAAAACAGAATAATCCCAGAGACATTGAAGAAAAAGTGGCACAAGGCAATCTGAAAGCAAAAAACATTTGAGAAGTTCATTAGCTAAAACACCATTAAATACTCCTATCCACATCATAATTACTTCCAGCTCTCAGGAAACAGTACTGTTGTCAATAAGGTGTGGGAACCATTGGGTTCTGCATCCATAAATTTTCAATGAAAACATGGGAAACGTAAATTTGATATTGCACACTGGCTACAGAGAAATTTTTAATGGTACAAACTTGGATTTTAGGAAAAATTAGCCATAAGTTTATAGGGCACTGAGGAGATTCCTGGAAGGGGACTTTGTCTTTGGGTCTTTGCAATCCTTTGATTCACATACTTCAAAAAATTTTTAGACAAAAATTAGCATTAAAAGGCACAGACTTGCTAAAGCTTACAGGAGTCACTTAGACAGAATAAGCATATATTGAACAAAACAGTACATTCCCTGCTCACCTTATCCTATTTTAATTTTGTAATTGTTATCAGACTAAAGTAAATATGAGAGTACAGGTGTTTATTTATAAAGGGCATTATAAAACCAGTATGTTATCATGAAATCTGAGCTTTATCAAGATAGCATCTTCTCATGATTACATCTGTTACCTGAGGACAATAAAATGACTTCTGTAATTTTCTTGATTTATTTTAGCTAGTAAAGCCATTCATCCTATTCACCAAGGAAACGTCAATATCTCTTCACTCTTAATTGTAAAGCATTCATTCAAATGTTATCTGGTGCCAGGTTCTTTACTGGGTGGAAAATGGGAAGTAAAAGCCAAGCTTCCTACTTTTAAAATAGTTTGAGACAAAAAGGAATCCAATAAAACCAGTCAAAGTACATTTACAAGGAGAAAAATAGATGCCGTGATGTTTACTGCAACATCGGGTAGATAGAAAACTTGCCAGCTTAAGGATTGTACAACTTTCACTTAGATTACAGGAGTCCCTGTACAATTCATGAGCTGACTTAGGATCCTCAGAAGAGAGCTTACAGAAATCAATAACCCTCAGAGGGTTCTCAGTATATAGGCACTGAACTCCAAGCAGAAAAGACCCCACGCTCAGGGGTCAAGTGGCCTTCCCTGTCCCAGTTCTAAATCAATTCATGCAGATCAAGAGAATTTATAAAAGCAAGATTAGCTATATATTGACATTCTGGGAATTTTTAATGCAACCTTTTTGCTCTAGCAGCTGAAGTGAATGCATTGTTATTAATAGCACAGACAAAATCAGGAACAACATGAACAGCACATTTGCATCACGGCCCGTTTTGTCAGGTTTTTCTTCAGAAAACTTACAACTTGTAAATGAAGTCAAGAAAGCATTGTTTTATACTGACCTGTAATGAATATTTTAATGTACTCCCAGGACTTGCCAGAGCTGCAAGTATAGCTGTTGTGGTTGTGCCAATGTTGGCTCCCAAGGTGAGCGGGTAAGAGCGCTCAATGCTTATAACGCCAATGCCTACGAGAAAAGAAACACGACTGGGTCGGCTTCAGGATGATGGAGAAGATGAAACATGGGGATAAAGAGCACAGTATTTACAACTTACCAACAAGGGGTGTAATGGCAGATGTGAAAACAGAACTGCTTTGGACAACGAAGGTCATACCAGCCCCTGCAAGCATAGCCAGGTATCCAGCCAGCCAAGTAAAAGGAAATGGAAAATCTAAAAAATAGAGGGAGAACACTGCTGTTAGCATAACAGAGTGATCCACGTAACAATAACACAGCAGGGAAGACTGTTAAGCACTTAAAATGTAAATATATTGTTTGCATATTGGGTCTCAAATGATGATTTGGGGGCCAGCTCTATTACTTTAATTTATCCTGTTTGCTGTGTGCCTTCTACAGCCTTGCACCACTGGATACACTTTGAGATGGATTCCAGACTAGGTAGACGTTTGTCCCGACCCAGGATAGCATGTGTGTTGTGATACAATTAGGTACCAGAAGTGTTTCCTCAGAGGTCAACACAAAACCTTTTGGGTGCTTTAAAAGCCTTGGTTTCAGGAACCGGGCACCCACTGCATGGATCAGATCTTCAGAAAGCTCTGAACACCATCCTGAGAGAACCAAGTTGTTTGCTCTAACTAGTTCCAAGTGGATTATCTCCTAAAAATGCACTTGTTAACTCTTGCAGAGAGCAGCTAATTACACTGATTAGAGAAACTAGGCACAAATGTCCCCTGTAGTCTGCAGATTTATGGAGAGAGCTGAGAAGTGAGGACTTAATCAGCTGGGAAGACACAGAGGAACACAGAGCAGATCCCAGATTAAATAAGCAGAGGCTGTCAGCTGTTTACTTTCTAGCCCTTGTTTTTAATTTGGGCAGTGTTCTTTGCCCAGGAGAAGACAGCTTGGGGACCACTTTGTTGCCTTCTCTATTTCTGTGCACCCTCACTTCAACCACAGCATGGGATCTGTGCCAGGACTGCTTTTCTCTGCTGCAGCTCCTAATCTCTCCATTAAAGAGAGTATGAAGGAAGAGCAGCCTGGTGAAAAAACCTCGTAACATTTGCACTCAATGGATCCAGGCTGAAAAAATCAGCTGGACAACACAGGGAAAGACAGAAAAACACCACCATTCAAGGCTGCCTTATCCTGCTGAAGAGAGGCTAGGCAGAAGCACAGGATAAGATCATTAATTACTACATACTTTTTTCAACTTACTTTAGAAGGAATATGCAGGCCCTGTGCCAGAGCAGGCAATCACAATCTCAGCACTTCGGTGCTATCTTTTGAGGATGGGAGATCTACATTTCTAGCAGCTAATGATTATACATCTAGAAACAGAGCCTGGACTTTGGTCTCTAATGCTGTTAATCTGCTGCATTTCTCAATCAAGCTGTTCACTAATAGATTTTTAAATTAAAGAAAAAAAAATACTTGGAAGAAAAGATGTTGGGCAGTGTGCATGATTTTCATTCAATAGTATTTTCTTTAAAATATTCTATAATGTCTTACAGAGAACAGGAGACATCAATAAACATGCTCAGTGTCCTTGTCATTCCTAAAAGCAATCCTCACGAAAAGCAGATAGTTACCAGTGTTGATTGTCTTCTTGATAACGCTGGCCACTTGTCCTTTAAGCACAGAGTTTAATAGCTTAACGATCGCTATCAAACAGGAGCAGAGAACAAGCAGGGACAAAGCCAGAAGGATGAGCCCGATACCAAGATCAGGCAGGTCTGAGTTTACAAAGATGTGTTGGCCTGAAAAAAAAAAGGAAAATAAATTAGCCTACCCACATTTTCGCCTGTGATCCTAAGCCCCGCTCTGGCTTTCATTTGCTCCCCTAAGAAAATTGGACCAAAGCAAACACAGCTGGAGGGGTTGATGCCAAGAGGGAAAATGCCACCTTCCCCCCTCCCCAAAAGCCACGTCTGAGTGAGGCAGGAGAGGTGCTTCTACAGACATGCTTACAGAATGCACAGAGGGCAGTCCTATGGGCAGGCAGGAACCTGGTGACCATGAGCAAGGGAGAGGAGCACCAAGGCAGGAGAAAATGCTGGGGTGCTCCAAGCTGCACGGTGGGTCAGCTTTTCCCAGAGGCGGCTGCATGCCTGAGCAGGGCTGTTCAAAGTCCCGCAGGGCATGCATAGGGATGGGATATCCTAGCAACCACGACAGCAAAGTAACCTAGCTCCAAGCCATCTGAACATCGAGGGTGACATGATACTGCAACCTCAATTGCTGGTATCAGGCAGCATGGAAAGAGATCCACCTGCAGCCAGATACCGTGGTGCTGCTGCTGTAACTCCAGCTGTGAGCCACAGCAGAGCACAGGCTCCTCAGGCAGCACCTGCAGCACTGCCACGTGTCCCTGCGCTGGCCAGGGCTCCTGGATACACCTCAGAAGGGGGCATTAAAAATCTATATACTTCTGTAAATACATTGCACAGGAGTAGTTCTACTACTTACATTTACTGATATAGTCTGTTTCAGTTATATTCTTGAGGGTCCATGTTGTATTTCCTTCACTCCAGCAAAACTCAGGAGATGTGCAGTTTTCGTAAGGTGGAATTGTGACATTCTGCAGTGTCTGTGATTGCCAGACAAAGCAGAGAGTTCAGTCATCTACAATCCTTTACCAAGAGCTCATGCAGAATTTTCAAATTTTACTACAACCAAGATCCATCAGCTAAAAAATCAGAACTGTAAGCTGGCACCACATTAATGACATGGTAACATTTTGCATTCTTAAAATAAAATATTATGCTGTTACCCAAGTCAATCAGTACAACATCTAAAGATTAAAATAGCCTCAAAATCTACATTGTAATAACCATAGCACCAATCCACTAATAGCTATGGAACTTAACTACTGATGACAGTTTTTGTGGAGTGAGGTTTATGTTTGGCTGCAGCTGTGGGGCAGTGGCATTCCTTCTCCAGCCACTGCCACAGCTTTCTTGATGAAAGAAAGACCTCCTTCCTGACATCTCCATGCAGCTCACGGTCTGATGAGTACTATAGCACTCTGAGTCAGAATGCTACAGCACGAGTGCAGCCTCTCTTGTTGGATGAGCACAAAGTGCTCCAGCTGATTTTCTGTGCCTCAGTTTCCATGTCAGTAGAAACAGAAGTGCTGCTCCTACTTTAATTTTCATGTTCAAAGGCTGTCTAAGAGCTCACTACAAGCACTATGATTAGCATTACTAAGTTACTGAATTTCTGTGTACACCACAATAAAAGCTTCCTTACAGGCCCTCCTAGGCCAGACATGCTGCATTCTGACACCAGGTCCACAAGGCATTATGCAGACTAAGGAAGAGCTTGCTGACTGAGCTGTACTTCCACACAAGAGCAGCTGACAGCCAAATGGACTCTGAACCATGCTCCTGAGCACGAGGCATCTTTCCAAAGTGCCTGAGTGATTTTCTTTTGCAGAAATGGGGAAAGAGAAATCATATTTCTTTGCTGAGCACTGCCTACAAACACCTGCATTTGTACCTCTCTCCAGATGATGCGGGTGGGCAAAACTGGGAGTGGATCTGGTGCCCCCACACTCCAGGGAGTACCTGGGCTCCAGGCACCCCATACCTGGTAAACCTTTACAAACTCAAAGCAGTCTTGTTTCTGACCTTCTTGAAGTTTTTTGAAACATCTTCGTTTCAAAGCAGCTTCACTAGATCAAAATGTTTGTTTTGCTTTAAGCATAAGAGGTCTGCATGTATTTATCCTGGCCATGAGTCTGTTTAATAATTTTTGCAAGAAATTAGTTTAACCCAGTAGGAATGTGTATCCATGATATTTTCTGAAAAATCCTTTTCTTAGGATTTTTCCTCCTGAGAAGCCTCAGGAACAAAATATAAACAATGGTTATCTGCTGGATCTGAGATTGGTCCCATGTGGTTGTTTCTAATTAATGGCCAATCACAGTCAGCTGGCTCAGACTCTGTCCGAGCCACAAGCCTTTGTTATTCATTCCTTTTTTTTCTATTCTTAGCTAGCCTTCTGATGAAATCCTTTCTTCTATTCTTTTAGTATCGTTTTAATATAAGTTATATCATAAAATAATAAATCAAGCCTTCTGAAACATGCAGTCAGATCCTCATCTCTTCCCTCATCCTTGGACCCCTGTGAACAAGTTCACAGGAATGCAATGATTTAAATTTTTTTCCTTTTTCCCCACCAAGGTCAAATCAAAATTTTGGGGGTTTCACATGCTTTGTAATTTGACTGTAAGCTTGAACAGTAGGTACACAGCCAAAATACAGGCAACACAGAAAACAAGTGTGTCTAGAAATGAACATTTCCCTGCACTTTCCGAGCAGTTTCCTGCCCTGTGCAGGACTGGGGGCTCGGGGCTGTGCCTGGGGGGCAGCGAGGGGCAGCGGGCCAGGCTCTGCAGCCGCAGGCACAGCCGGGGCTGTAACCCCAGCGGGGTCAGGGGAGCACAGCTCTGCCCCATCCATCTCCCAGGCAGCATTTCCCTGCCCAGCCACAGCGCCGTCAGTAGCAGCTGAGCACCCCAGTTCAACCTCCACGGCCTGTAGAGGCTGAAATACTTAAGGACTCCTGAAGTATCTTCTGCCTCAGGACTTCAGGAATTGCGTTTCTATATGTGCCAGCAGGTGGAATAGTCTAATTAGAGAATCAAAGGATATTTAATGCTGTAATTGCTGGTTAGCTGAACGATGCAAACCAAACACTCAGCTCCATAGTTTGCCAAAACACTCATTGGTGTTGGTGTGGGCAAGAGATTCCTCCGAGCTGCAGGGCTGCTTGGGTGGGGAGGAGCAGGACACAGCCCCACGGAGCCTTTCTCCAAGGGCACTTTTCCAAGAGGGAAAACCAGCCAGCTGCCACCAGATCACCCCAACACACGTCAGACTGGAGCTGATTAGATCAGCAGATAAACGGTGCTTGAAACGATCTTTCCTCTGGCCTGTGGCGCAGACTTTTTCCACTTTCAGGGAGCTGGAAGACTATCAGGGTTAAAGGCGTTTGGGTTTGAGAGGAGTAAAAGGCTTGGCACCAATCCACCAGCTCTGATAGGCAAGGGCCTGCACAGTACTGAGAGCAGCCAGGTCAAGGTCACCACTGGTGACCAAGCTTGGTTTAAGTGGAGCAGAAACTGCATTAAATTTTTTTCATTCTTTTTCTGCTGATAAAAACCCCACCCTCATTAAAAAAAATCTTATTTCACAATCCTGTGATAAGGAGCATCAGCTACAGATCAGTAATATATTTCCTGAGGTACCTGACAATTAATTTAACATGATACTCACCACATTGGTTTCAGTCACACACCAGATCTTTACCAGGCTTTTGTTTTTTGCTGATTCATCGTTAGTGGCAATTGCATTTATTACTGATTTATCAAGCTTAAAAGGAAGAAAAAAAAGAGTTTTAAAAAATGCTTTATTTCCAGTATGTATCACATACTTCTGTTCAGCTCTACTCAAATAAACCCCCCTTGGAAGCTCAACCATATAAAATCTGCATTACTCCAATGCTGGAACTCCTGCCCAACAGGTAGGAGGGGGGTTATTCCCAGAAGAAAAGGTACAACTGTGCATGAGCAAATGCTTTGTCTCATTCTCCCCACATCATCCACTACCTCTTCTCATCCTTTCTGTTTAATCAGCTGCTCTGACACAACTCCCTGACCATATTTACTGTCACTTCAGAAGCTGTGTGCATCCCCCTGGCCTCCAGATGCACATGATTGTGTCCCATAATTTCAGTGTCCTCATCAGGTCCCATGCTGATCCTCTGGCTGATCCTCTGGCTGTGTCTCAGCTAGTGCTACCTGCAGATGCCCAGGCAAGAGGCTGCCTTCCCATCCATCCCACATGGCTGAAGTTGCCCTCACTGGCCTTCCCAGCCCTCCTCCCCTCTGTCTGCCATTGGTGCTGTGAAATGTGGGGGAGATAGAAACTGGAAACATAGAACTGGGGCTTTATGAGATGTGAATTAAGAGAAGAATCCATCTGTTAATGAACTTTACCCCCAAGAACACAGAGATGGGAGTGGGAAGCCTTCTCATACTCAGAGCATTTTGATTTGACTGAATCAGGTAGGCAGCTTCCTTGAAGTGAGAAAGAGCTTACCTCAATGATGAGCTTTGTAAAGGGGTCTGTGATAACTTTTAGTAGCTCTGGAGCATCCTCACCACTTTCAAGGTGAAAGGACTCAACTATAACATTGGTGAGATGGAAGAGATAGCCAGTAATGACTTCAACGGGTAACAGTGCAAACACAGCCAGCCAGTTAAAGAAATCATGGATTGTTGCCCCAGCAAAGGCCCTGCAAGAAGAAATTAAAAAACGGAGCTGCTTTTAATTAAACAAAATGTGTATAACATCAATTAGATATGAAATCATAAAAGTAGAGATGAAGGGCATTTCAAGATGGGAATAATTTAATTTCTGGGGTCAAACACAATACCTACTTTGTTATGGAGTGCTAGATTTTCTCCCCACTGTTGGCCAATTAAAGAGCCAGACAGGTGAGTAAAACAAGAAAAACTAGAAAAGACAGAAGTGATCCATAGCATGAGGCTGCCAAGAGTACTTTTTTGAAGAAGTGGCTGTACAGCCCGTGTTTGTTTTGCCTCTCACCTGTTTTTAGTACATTTTTAATCCTCAGCCAGTCATTGCCTCCAGGACCAGTCAGTTCTCCCTGACTCCTGGGGCAAGAGGGCTCTGCAGCTCTCCCACATGTTTCTGCAAACTGTTGGTGTACAGGTCTCTTCAATCTTCTCCTCCAAAGCCTGAGGAGCCACAGCTCATCCCCCAGAGGCTTTGGCCAAGCGTATTTCAATATGCCCAGTGCAGAAATGACAAGGTACCAAAGTCTCCTATCACTCCCAAATTTACTGCCCAACTCCAGTGAGCCTCCAAGTGCTCCATGAGCTCTCTCAGTGGCAATGTCAAGTGTCAGTCTAAAAGATGTCACTGTATACATCTGACAGCCAGAACATTTCATTTCTTTACAGTTACCAGCTCTGGCTTTCTGCAGACTTCAACATTGAAATCTCTTTTAAGGAAACCAGACCAAACTTATGTGATACTAACTTCTTGTACAACCCTCCCATAGCTGGCACATAATAAAAGGTGGGTGGTATAGTGGAAGCACTTGAAAATTTATTCCTGTGTAAGATCATTAAAAATGGTAAATTCTCACAAACCCACAAAATTTTTAAAGGAACATGATATCGTTTTTTTTCCAAGAGTATAAGGCCATACATGTAGGCAGCTTTATACCTTTGCCATGGCCATGCTTGTGACTTTCCTATCTAGAAAGGTTTAGTGGCTGTAGTAGTGATAGGGAATATAGAAGAAGACCTACAAAAATGAAAGAAACAATTTTCCAGATCCAAAGTTTAAGTACAATACCTTCTAAATTCATTCCTGTCCCCAGCTTGCATAAGTGCCACAATTGTGTTTGTAACTGAGGTGCCAATGTTTGCTCCCATGATGATAGGAATAGCTGCTCTAACAGTCAGCACTGGCAAACAGAAAAGGAAACAATGGATGAAAAAATCAAATTATCAGCAAGCTCTATGCTTCAATGAAAACTTCTATTGCTATTAGTGAAATCCTGACTTCCCTTGATGTCAGTGTAATGATCTGCTTCAATCCAAACAGGTTTGCTTTGATCAAGCCCCCTGGGAACGTGGCACTCCCATAGTCCCATGATCCCCACTGACACTGTGGCCCATGGTTATCTGTTTTCATCACATGTTAGAGGGACAGATGAAAATAAGGTCTCTTCTTTCCCAGGCATTTTCCTACTTACTGCAGAATTTTGAAATTATACCACAGAAACAATGAAGTTCAGTAACTGCCTAACATGACAAACGATGCAGATAATTCCAAAATTAAGTCCTTCAGTGCCAAGGCTTCCAACAATTTTCCTTGCAGTTGTGGTCTTATTGTTATTACTAGTACTACTCCTACTATTGCTACTACTAATATTAACACCATTATGATTCCTTTTTAAAATTTAATTTTATATCAGGGAAACAGCTGTGAAAAACTTTTCCTATAGTCTTTATTCTTTTTACCCAAAGCTTCTACAATTTGAACACAAGTGGGAATGTTGGCACCTGAGACAAGGTTTATGAGTGATCTCTAGGAAGATTCTGTGAGCAGACTCACATGTGGAGGACACCATGCTGACTATGATGGATGAGGAGGTGCTGGAACTCTGGACCATCACAGTCACCAGAACTCCGATCACCAGTCCCGCAACAGGATTCGAGAGCACTGAATCATCTTTAAATATGTCCCCTGCTGCTTTACCTGTAAAAAACCCATATTCACAGAGTGAGGGAAGTACAAGGGAAAGTCAGTGTTTAATTCAAGATCATTTAGCCATTTAATTGATACGTATATAATCATATTTGTTATCCCAAAAAGTACAGTGTAGCCCAGGGATCCAGATTCATGTCCTGGACTCTCAGCTACTCAGATTTTAGAGAACACTTTATATTCTCTAATTACAGTGACTATAAGCCCTGCTGAACTCTGCAGAGAAGCATATAATGGCACAGCCATCAGCAGAAAGACTGTAGGACAAAAGACCACCCATTGATTTAAATGTTATTACTTGGTATTTTTGGATACTGAATTAAGGGAAATGCTTTTAATAATACTGAGTAATTCAGTTCCTGTACCTTTCTGTGTTTGCAAAATACTTCAACAGAAGGGCACATATTTATCTGATAACCACTCCTAAGTCCATCACCTGAATTCAACACTTCAAGGTAAATGTAAAATATACATTTCAATAGTTTTCATCTTCGAAGGATTTGGGGGACATTTCAGTGTGAGATGCTTTGGTCAAGAGCACGATGTTCATATTTCGCCTTGCTGAAATGTCTTTCACATGGGACAGATTTATGTACAGATGTATTTTTTTAAACTGTCACTAAAGTAATGGGAAGCTACTGGGAAACTGGGGCCAATAACCCCTACATCAGCTCTTTGGAATTTGAGACAGAAAGACCCTTTCAAACAACTGAAGGTCAGTGTTTAATCAGAGCTGCTTCCTTCTCAATCTGTGTCTCATCATATATGAGGAATGTTCTTGAAGAGTGGTGGTTGTAATTAAGCATCTCAGACAAAATTTACTGCCTTATTAATTTATTCTTGATATTTTAGATATTTTCATACCTCCTACCAGTTGAAAAGCAGAGCTCAGTACATCCAGAGAACACACAAACATGTAGAGTAATCCAAGGAGCATAACAAACTTCCCTATCCCATAGAGTACACGAATGACTTTTCCTTTTGTATCCAGATCTGCAAAACAAATACATTATGTATAAAAGAATCATTTGAATTTTTCTCTGGAATACTCTAGTGCACAAACAGAGACAGTGGAGACAAAGACAGTGACATGGCTCCAGTATGTGATTAAACCCAAAAGAATGTTCTTAATCACATTTTAACTGCAGAAGCAGGTATTTTGTTTGCCTACTTTTACCACAAAAAAATCTTTTTGGTATGTGACAAAAGCCTTATGAAATCTGACATTGACCCTTGGTTCTATAGTCATCCTTCTGAGTAAAAAAAGACCAACAGCTTCCTGGATATAAAACTGTATTAGTGCTGGACTGTTTTACATTTATCTTCTCATGTTTTAAGTAGGCTAAGAAGCATGATTTTGGGATTTTTCTTAGCTGACTGAACATTATAAACCCATTAACTCTTGAAGAACACGAGACAAGTGATGGGAAAACAAAGTAAGTAAGTCATTTACAGAGAAGTGGCTACCTGACCACTTGACCCCGGTGTCCTGCAGTTCTGGCAGAGCCCACGGGTCTTCTTCTTCTGGTCTTGTCTCATCTATCAAAGCTACTGTGGAAAATGCAGGTTGAATTTCCCCTTTATTTCCAAGTGAAGCCACGTTGCCTGATGAATTAGAACATTTAAAAAATTGTTTAATTACTTTCCATCTTCTCCAAGGATCCCCAAATCCTATCTATTTTTTATAACTCAGAGTGAGCACATTACCTTTGTGATTTTCTCCTTCTTTCCCAGCCATGTTCTGGTTTTGTTTGGAAGAGTCCCCAATATAGTTGTTGGTTTCAGGCTTTTCTACCTCCGGCCAGGGAGCCATGATCTGTGACTAACAAAGTAGTGTTGATTGAAATGCAAGTGCAGTCAAAATATTCACCTTATAAGAGTGCATGTGAGAAATATGATAAGGTTAAAGAGCACAGAAGATGAAAATTAAATAGAAGCAATTTTCCCTTGAACACAAATTTTTACTAAACTTTATGAGTTATTCTTCTACTTGGGAAATTGATTTCTCAATTATTTTTTAATCACAGTTTATTTATTTGTGTACACAATAAAAAATTATTTTAATCTTACATCTATATTTTCATATACTTTTAACTGTCATTAAAGCAAATATTCCTCTGCTTTCCAAAAGGTAGGCATTTCTTCTCTTTAATTAATTTTAACTCCTTTCAACAAGAAGTCAGAGAACTGTTTTATTTTCTTCCACCTTCTGGATTTAAGCAACCTCCTGGTAATTCAATACACAGACCTTTACCTTGTAATTCAATATACAGAAATGTTTTAGCAAAAAATTCCTCCCTAAAGCACTGCTTAGTTTGGGTTGTGAATGCTAAACACAATGCCTTGTTGCCTTTATTGGTTCTTTGCCACGGAAACACGAAGAGGAGAATCCTGGACAAGGTGGAAGAAGAGCCCAGAGAAGAGGACAGAGAGAGAGGGGCCATTTGCAGGTCTGCATTTGCCTGTAAGCCACAGCTGATGCTGCAAATGGAGCTGAGCTGGAAGCAGCAAGGTCCAGCTCACCCATCTCACACAGGCTCTCTCTCTCTGAACCTCTTCCTCCCTGACCCCTTTCTGGGCACGTTTGACATGCATTCTATTATTAATGAATAATAACTTAAAAAGTGAGACATCACATGTCCAGATCCTGCCAGCATGGGTGCAAGCACACATGGCAGACCTGGTCCAGGCACAAGAGGAGGCCAAGCTTGGAAAAGTCCTCCCTATTTACTTCACCAGTATTGGAAGCCAGAGGGAGAGACGTGAAAGGGGGAAATGACTATGGAAATAGGATCCAATATGGGCCACAATATTGCCTTAACAGACCTGGTGACATCAGCCAGCACATCTAAAAACTCCATGGAAAGAATGGGAGAAGTAAACCCTGTCCAGGAAAGCCCCACCTTCAGGTCTGTCTTTTCCACCCTCTCTGCCCCACAAGTCAGTCAGAGCTGCCCCATGAGCAGCACGTCTGGCACCCACATGGCTGAAACCCTGGCCAGCAAATTTGCCTCCAATGCCTGTCATACACAGAGCCCCTGTGCCCCCTGTGCCTCCAAAGGCGAGAGCTGGTTTCATGCTCCCACAAACAAGGTTCACCAGCAGTTAGCAGTCGCTCTCAGGGAGTATAATTAGTCATTCATTTAATCATAATCCTTTATGTAGCTGATGGTGAAAATGTTTTGTGCCTGCCCACATCAGTAAGCCACACATCCTCGTCCTTCCTTTAGCTGGGAAGGAAAAGTCACAGACAAAATCACTTGTGTCTTACTGTAACACAGGTGGGTATTGTTTTCTGGCACTCCACAAAGAAAAGAGTATCTCCTCTTCCACATTACCAGGAAAAGTTATTCTGCAATTCCATTAGCAAAAACTACACGTTTCGCATTCTTTATCTGTGGTGTAAGACCCAGAGCAGCTCCCAAGATACACAAAGATCTTCAAACAGATGAAAGAAAGTCATTCTTGCTTGTTTCAACAAGGATTCCCATTTGCTTGGAACAAATTCTCACATTTCCATCCATGCCAAAACAACCTCCAGCCCCACCCAGACAAAACACCTCCATCTTGTTAAACAAGTTTCATTTATATATGTTCAGCATTTAAAGAGCTATTAAAAAATAACTGCTCTGCACAAGTGATTCTTAAGTGAAATGTAATCATGAAAATATATTGGAAAGTCAGATGTGAAGCTGCAACTTATTCCAGCCATGGAGACACAGAATATGCTGGACACCACCATCCCCAGAGATGCCATCAGCACTACAGCTCTTCTGTTACGCTTAGTATGGAAATGAAGGACTCAGCCTGCATTATTACTGTATGGAAACTGAGCTGATGCATTCAGTGGAGAAACTGGAGCTTGAAAACTTCAGCAGACAATCAGCCTCTACGTCTCCTAAATAAAGTCTCTCCAAACAAGAATTCGGAAGAGCATTTTTCCATAATAAGCATCTCCCATGTTCCTGAGGTGCTCAGGAGCCCACAGGTATGTCATGTATTATTATTGTTTTTGCTTTATGTGATTAAACATCATAGAATGAGAGTTAATCACCTCTGTAGAGGAAGTTTTTATGTGTATAAAGTTTATACAGAGCCCTAGCCAACCTCTGATTTGAGAAGGTAGAATTGAATATGGGAGGCCTTCACAGCATTTGCCTTGAGCATTTGGGTTTGCAGAGGCATTACTAGAACGGCCCATGCTGTGTGAGTGGTATTTATGACTGATGCTAGCAGAACCATGTATACCCTTGAAGTCCTTCCATAGTTGTCAGCTTTCCCAGATCCCAGCTCTTGTTAAGAGAAATAGCTGAGAAGATAGTGGAGAGACACCTGATACTCTCTGCTGGAGTCCTAGCCACAGCTACTCACTGTTAATTAACCGCTGTGCTACAAAGATAATCTACATGCTACAGTTTTCCCTTCAAAGAATTTTTTCTTGGCCCAGACACAGACATTAGCACCTTGAGGACGCCTTGGAGGCCGGTCAGTGTGCTGTGCAGGAGCAGGGCAGCGGGGTGGCCGAGCCACCGCTCTCACGCGCCTTTGCAGAGGCTGACGTCAGCTGTGGCAGAAAGGACCTGCACTGCTGACGCAAGATACCAGTGACAATGAAAACCCTAATCGTGGTTTACCTGTGAGCACCAAAGACAGACACATGCAAAGGAACATGTTAGAGAGCAGGCCAATGACAATGCACACTGCAACAACTTGCTGTGCTCAGCTGGACGCACCGGTCCAGGTCCAAAGACGGGAGAGCCACAATTGCTGGATGAGGCACTGCAGGGATGAGCTCTGCCCAGCCTCAGGTGCCTCAGTGCCACGCATCTGGCTCCTGTCTTGGCTGGCAGGACAGCAGGCAGGGTGCCTGCAGCCAGGGTGAAGTCACGGAGCTCACGTCAGGACAGGCATTGGTGCTTTGGATATCCACCTGCTGGGAGCGGTGCTGAAAAGGGAGCTGATTTCCTCCTGAAGGTGGCAGGTCACAATGTGCTATGCATATTGCAAAGGGCTGAAAACCAATGCCTGGGCAAGGTGTAATCCAGCCCGTTTCAGTGAACCTCGTGGCAAATCCTCTCACACCATCGTGTGTGCTTCTTTCGTTGTGAGTATAATCTTTCCTTGCCTTTGGAAAATGCTAACCATGTGTGACATCCTTTCTAACTTCAAAAGAAACTGAACCCTCTCCCTTCTAAGAGGGAGATAGATGGGAAAAATCAATGGCATTCAAATTCTGAAAATGTGTGAGAGAAAACCTCAGAGCCAAAGTGGGCTCCTGTGGTTTTTATGTCCATACTCTCTCATTACAGCATTTCAAAGAGTTAAAGTCTCTGGAGAAATTATCTGAGCAACACTAGGTGTCATGCAGTTACCCTGTATTGCATTCCTCAGTGACTCACAGGTTGTAACAGCTTTGCCTGTGTTGCAGAGCTGCACTCTCTGTGCTTTGCAGTTCTAAATCAGAAACAGCTGCCAATCTGTTTGTTTTGCTGGAATTAACACAGCTAAATGAGCTACCCCCTGTGTGTGCCCAGCCAGCTTTGTTTGTACCTCTCCATCCATGACAGCTCGCCCAAAGGTGAGCCACATTGTGCGTGACACAGGAACTATGGAGCAGCAGCAAGCCTTAAAGAAATCTCACTGCTGGGGAGCAGACCCAGTCAAAACAAGATAAAACAAAAAGTACTAAAGGAAAGAGAAGTATTTTCAAAACTAACTGATAATAACTACAACCACCAATGTGACCATACATGCACCTACAGGCTGCTTAAGCAGCTCCATATCAGATTTTGGGTTCAGCCAGGCTTTCCCCATTCTCTCTCCCTCTCATTCTCTCCTTCTGTCTCAGCTTTTCTACTGAAGTACCTCACTTCCTTATCATTCACCACAGCACTAAAGTTTTTATCTTAAAAAGGGATTTATTAGCTTTGGATACCATTAGCTTGGTATCCAAATATATGACTTAGTAAATATGAATATTTATCACACATACTTCACAGGAATAAATACCAAGCTATATGCCAGACTTTCTTGAAGAAATAATTGTCTCTTTCCTCTCAAAATGCACCACTTGCAGCATAGAAGCACATTATGTAGAGACAGGAAAAGAAAGCTTCTGAGCCAGCACAAATTCTTTCAGTAGCTTTGCATCAGCTGATAGTTTTGCCCCAGAACCAGTTCCATGGAAGCCACAAAGCCCCAGGTGCAACAGAAGCAGTAACAACTTAAGTAAACACCAGCAATGATTCAGCCTTGCTAGGAGCAAGTCTTGTCTTTGCTCTGGCACCAGCTGCTTCCTTGGGGCTTTTTCTTTGAATAAGTCAGCAGGCTTAGCCGGGATGTAAACTTTCAACTCATGCAGTAGTAAAGGCAGAAAGAGATATGCAAAAGCTACAAAAACACTGTGCTCAGTTTTATTCCCATGGATCTGTAAGACTCATTGCTCACAAGCCGGAATCTAACACACAACAAAACTAAAAAAACACACAAAACAAACTAATATCTACGTATGTGCATGGAGAGAATAAATCCCAAAGATTAATTTTTGAATTCACAACCAAGCAAAGCACTGGAGACTGCCCCCGAGGAGCCAGAGCCAGGAAATACCAGTGAGCTACTTGAAATGCCTAGTAGGTATTTAAATAAAACAATTACATTTTCAGAATAAAATGCCAAGAAAATTAATAACTTTACCAACAAAGAAATAGTACAGATCTACCCCATCCCATAGATAAAATAAACAGTAAGAATAAAGAAAGGAAAACAAAAAAAAAAAGACGTTAAAAAGACTTACTGATCTAATGGAAGAGCTGATAATAAAAGTTACTGAGAAACCAGCTGATTTCTGCCTGCTGCCACATTTGTTGGGCAAACTACATCAGAGTCTAATGTATTCCTTTTACCTCCGTGTATCAAACCAAATTAGCATAAGAAAATGTTTCCATCGAGAACAGCCTGACACGGCCGTGGTGAGGCACACAGCCCTTACAGAAGATCTATGCTAACACATGAACTTACCGTATTTCCTTCCAATGTTTCATTAATCATATCCTAGACATTTTCCATTATCCAATACCACTGATCACTATGACTTAAAATCTCACTTCTTTTCAAATAATAGTTAAACAAATGCCTTCTCTTGATATAGGCTTTTTTTGGGGGGGGGTGGGTTTTTTGGCAGCTGCTAACAAAATATTTTATTTCTTTATCATATTTAATAAGAATAAGCCTAGCTAATTGCAGAAAAAAAGCACAGTTTATTTTCAGAGCTATGTTTCTTATCACTTCCTTAAAACATAGATGCAGTTAAAGGAAAACAAGGTAAAAATATTAACAAGAGGATGACATTTCATTTGCCACTCCAGTACCCCCATTACCTCCCTTTCACTATTTCTCGAACTGCAAAAGCAAAGCTTTAGATTTGCAAGCTAAAAAAGTTCAAAAGAGAATAAAAGAAAACTCAGTCTTAGTTGCTTTTACTTACCACGACTTAATTCCGAGACAATAGTGAACGGATCAACTGGGCAGCCACTGAAACCTGCAATATATATAGACAGGTGTTGAGCAAAGTTTGCTTTCATCACTGCACACTAACATTCCTATTTTACAGTCCAGAGGCACTGCCTACCTGCAACTTAATGATCACAATAAAACTTTTTTTTGCAGGAGTGGGCAGCAACCACCACTGATAAAACTATGGGTTATTTCACACTTATCACATTCTAAAAAATGTCCCATCAGCATTTAAGTACAAGTTACAAATGTGCTCATGTGAGTGCTGGAGAACTAATTGTTCCAGCCTGAAAAATTGCTGTCCGCCTGATCATTCAGTAATCTTTTTTCCAATAATAATTTTCCAAAAATATTTTGCAGTCTCAAAAGTCTGTCAAAAGAGTGTGAAGGAGATGTAGTACTGTTATTTGTCTGTTCAGGTGCCTATTAATCTGCCTAAGAACAGAAGTGAAGGAGAATCAGATAAAAACGGTGTAAGTAGGAAACACGTAAGAACTCCTTAGAACAGAGGATGGAGTTTCATTCTTATCAGTGCTCAGTGTTTACAATTAAGGCAAGCTCATTAGCATTTTGGCTGTGGCTCTACTTCCAAAGTAGATTTAAAGGTGTAAGGACACCTTTGATAATCGCGTTCAGAATGCTAGAGATGAAGACAAATAGATGATAAAGAGATAGGTTATTCAATAAAAGAGTGTGGTACTACAGTTTAGACAAAGCAGCCACCAGCATTGCTGTCTGTCCTAGTGCTGATCATCTTCACAGGGAGCTGCATGGGGGGGCTGCATTAGGCACTGCAGCTTTATGATCTTTGATATTTTTCTGTTCCTGTAGGCAAATTGCGCTGAGAAAATATGCTGCAAACTAGCCATCTAAGCAGCAGATCTGCCTTGTCTGCTTGTGTGCAGTCATATCTCCCAGCAGCTTAGTGACTTAGTAACTCAGTAAAGTAAAACTCTTGCTTTTTGCACCTTTCAGTCCCCTGGAGATGCCCAGCCTTTGGAGCGGTGAGTCACAACTTCCCCTTCTGCTGCGTCGGCGTCAGAAATGTTTAATAAGCTGTGGCCAGGAGAGCTCTGCAGCCCCGAGTGCAGCATCACATCCTGGCAGCACAGCCCCAGGCACCTCCCCTGCCGCAGGTGGCTCTGCTGGTGCCGACCCCGCTGCTGGGCAGGGCTGGGCAGGGCTGGTGGTGCAGCCCAAGGATGGGAGCACCAGCCCTGCCTCACCCTCCCCACTTGCAGCTTGCACAGAGGTGGAAAGGATGGAAAGGAAACCAATTTCTCTTCTGTGTGAAGTGGAGAACTGTGCAAAAGGGGAAAGAAGTAATGGAAAAAGGACCCAGTGTTGTCCTTGGTGGTTCACAGACTCAGTTTTCTTCACAGAAATGTACTTTAACATTACATCTAAAAAAGTACATTTTAAGTCGTGCCCAACATGCAGGAAATCAGGTGATGTTATAATTGGGAATACTTGTACTTCTTTGAGTTATGGCTTATTTTCTTCTGAGTCACTGGTTGTGAAACCCAGCTCTTCTGAGTGGGAAGTTATGAAATGTGTACATTTCAAGTGCCCAAGCACCCTGTGGGTCAATCAGAATGTGGTGATGTCCTCTGTTTTATTCCAACATCGCTAATTCCATTTGCTAAGCACAATCCTAAGTGCTGACCAAGTTAACATTTAAGAGGGACAAAAATTCTATGTCAGACCTATTGTACTAAAAAAAAAATCGTTAGGAAAGAAAAAATAGTCATTTACACAAAGGCAGACAATCTACAGTCTGTCTTTGGAAGACCAGGGTGAATCTTCTGCAGAGTCACTCTGAAAGAGCCTTCATAAGAAGTTTGTCACAAGGAATGAAGGTGGTGTTATTTGTTCCAGAAGCCTTCCCTTCATTCAAAATCAGAGGAGAAGCTGATGTTCTTCCTGGAACACCAGGGCAGTCAGAGTGGTAGTTCAGAGTGCTTGCTGGCACACACTCAAATGATGCTGCTGCTGCTTGGGAAGTGTGAGGCAATGCTCTATCTTTCCACTTCAGAGCTTACTTTGAAACTACTGACTTAATTAAAAATATACATATATTGAATAGGAAACACTAAATAAAGTAAAGAAAGCAAGCAAATTTCAAGGGTCCTGGTTTCCTCTAACAAAAGTGCTGGATTACTCTGCAGCTATTTGGAATAATACCTGTGAAAATCTAGCATTTAGCACGAAGTGCAAACACAGAAAATGTCTTAAACACAGAATAAGAAAAAAATTCCTAGCATGTGCAAATTCTGTGAGAGGTGAACTCTGTCCAGTCACTGTTATATGTTGCAAGAAGTTATGACACAGAAAAGAAACATGTCCACATAACATCTGTGCCACAAGCTGCTTCACAGATCTCCCCCACAAAAGGGGTACCTGCTGTGCAAGTGTCAACCCCATCCTATCTGTAAGACCCAAGCCCTAGTTTAGCAAACCAAGTGCACATAAGTCACAACTAAAACAAAAATAATTACAAGGAAGTGAAAGAAATGGCCATTTATCCTGCAAAGGTGTGTCAGTGCAGTCCAAGATATATATTCACTGACAGTAATAATAATGTGATGAGGTTTGCTCTTTTATAGACACAGCTTCAAAAGACAGCAAGCATGAGCATGGCTCTCAGCTAACACCAGGAGAAAAATCTCTCTCTCTTACATTTTAATTTAATTTTTGATATTCCACAATCCAAAGAATCCACACCTAAACAATGTACATTCAAAAGGGTGGGAATCTAGAAAACAGCGATATGGCTCTTTACTGAAGAGAACAGGAATTGTTTCCATCATTTGGAAACAGAAGTGTCTATTTTCTCTTGATCAGAAACCTTGACCAAATCTAGTGGTCTATATTTGGGAACAACATGAGTGTAAATCCCTCTTCCAGATATATAAAACACAAAGCCCTGATCATAAAGAGAGAGGCCAGTGCTGATTTCAATAGGAACTGTAGCCTGAAGAGTTGTTTGGTTAAGGACTTACACCCATTCAGCTGAAAAACATGTTCCTTCTTTGTGTAGTTACCTGGAAAAATTTAAGTCCTGGCTTTATGTATTGTCTGAAAAGTATTCCTCCTATAAACATTTTAGCAGTGAACCTTATTAATGGAAACACCCAGTCAGATGTGCTTTTTGAGTATGAACTTCCATAGTGGTACAGCTGGGTATTTATTTGAAACAATGCTTGTAGCAGACTTTGACCCTGACATTATATAGGATGCTTTGATTTTGTAACAGAGGGTAAGTGCTACAACTCTGCTATTCACTAATTAAGTTATTTTCCATTAAGAAGTGTAAATTTGTCTTTGAAGGCAACCACTGGCTTTTAGCTACCCTGCACTCTTCTGCCTATTACTGCCATACATACTCAGAACTTTTTTTTCCCCCAATATTTCTGCTATAGTTGAGAATAGTAAAGAATAACTCCTAAGTCTACTTTGACAGGAATAAGAAAACCCCTAATTTCATGTATAAAGAAAATGGATCCTATCACAGAGTTCTCTATTACAATACTGTGTATTTAATCTAACAAGAATGATATGCAAAAAATTTAATGGAGTTACAGCAGTTAACATACTTCCAGAACCGAGTAATGAATAAAGTCATAAAGAGACAGTACTCAACAGAACCAATGCCAGGAATGGAAGGGGGAAATAAAATGTGAACCAAAGGAGTCACAAAGAGAAAACCTACAGGAAGGGCTTTCAACCATACAAAGGAAAATAAACATTTAAACACCAGGGAAATATTTTTTATGAAGCAATTATATGGCAAACAATTTTAGACAGATAGAAGTATTTGAAAGGAAAAAGAAAATCTCTTTTGGTCTTACTACAGCTGAGCAGTTCCTTCAGTATAGAATGAGTTTATTCTCATTACCACCAGGTCTCAAATTTTTTTGTCAGTACAAATGTATCCTCAGACATGAGTTAAGGGAGTTATTTTGTTGACATTTTCCATGTAACTGTGTTTTCATTAAAGTAGCTTATTACAGTTATTTTTACTGTTCCTGAAGTATCTTATTTTGACGTCCTATTTAGTTGATGTTTTGCTACAAGATGCACTGTTCTCAACATTTACTGACGTGTAAGGGGCTGCTCATCTGGAGCCTGCAGTCCTGGCACTGGGGTGAGGGCTTCAGAGCAGGGGCAGCTCCCACAGCTTCTGACCCCTTCCCAGGGGAGGCATGGCCAGAGGCAACAAGGCACAGGCAAAAATGGGGCATGAAAAAATAGAACCACCTGGGGCTTGCATTTGATTTCAGCAAGAATGCTAAAAAGTTGGATCATGTAATTTGCTTTTACTATTAAATCCCAGATAAATTTTTAAACTTTGCTTATCATAGCTGTTTTAAACTTTCACTTCTTGTCTGGAGTGTATAACTAAAAGGTTTAACTAAAGGTTAAGATAATTCATTAAAAAATAATCTCCAAAACAAAGACCTGGTGATGCTTTGGCATCAGAAATTTTTAATCACAAAAGAAACCCAATATTATTCCCCTCCTGCTAACCTTTCCTTTCACTTTTTATAGTCTCTCCCCTAACCTTACCCTGACACCACACTCCTCATTCCCCACTCCTGTTCACTCTCTGAACCAATCTTATATTCCACAGCCTCTGGTTGCCTCCCACTTTGGTCACACACGAATGCAAGTGGCACCTTCCCAGCAAACAAGTGATGGGGAAGAGGAAGAGAAGTGAAAGGAAATGTGAGAGCTCTTAAATAAATAATAATATTCACACTCTTAGGCAAACCTTAATTTATGGATTCAAGTGCTTTGGGAAAGTAAGCGATGTTGGCTGCCTTATTACTCAGACAGTTTCAATACATATTTGATTTTAAGAAACCCATTGTTTTCCTCCTACGTGGTTTGTTAACTCTTGGCTGACACTGGGCATGGTGCTGCTGGCAGCAGGACAAGCCAGAGTAATTGCTGTCAGCCAGCTGAGCATGACTGCAGAGACAGAGGCTCCATCTCGCCATCCCCAC